CAGTTGGAAACAAAGTTAGCTTAATTCCTCAATATTTTTTGACTAATTAGGAAATGAAGAAAAAGACTTTATTTTAATAATCATTTAAAATGTATATCATTGCTAGCTAAAATTGAAAATTTCAGATGCTTATGCAAAAATAATATCCTCCATGTTAGTATTGTTCTTTACTCAGAAATGTGAGAATTACTCCCGAGCAAATATAACTATGATGTTCTTTTACAAGTTGGGGATTCTGAATTTCATGCATGATCTCATATGTGGCAGAATATCAATCACCATCTTGTGAAACTATCTCCTAAACAAACAAACAAAAGAGATACCAATTCCAACAGAAGAGACTATTAACATGGCACTGAGTGTTTTGAGGCAATCTGAGCTTTTAAATCTTAGGCTTTGATTATATGTATATTAAATAAACATAAAATTAGAACATTATCATTATGTTGCTATTAATCACCACTCTATAATGCTTTCTAGTTTAAAGGTGTCACAGAAATAGTTAGGCTGTTATTCTGAAACTAAATTGATCTGATTAACATGTGAATACCTTTTCTTTATCACCAAAGAAAATTTTGAGTCTGCGCATATTTAAGTATCATTACATTCAAGTTATAGAATAGAAAGTTGCAAATGCATATTTTTATTTCCAACAAAGATCTCTTCTCAGATGTCCTGATTTGTCTCAGAACTAATCTCAGAGTCAGCTCAACTCATTTGTACCTTCATGACAATAGTCTCTGTGAATCACATAATCTTCTCTATTCTCCCCTTGTAATGCATCTCAGAATATCTCTCTGGATGGTAACCATGTGAAAGTATGGATGCATCTTAAACTTCTTTAGCCATTAAATTTCTCTTAATATTCATATAGAGTAATTAGAGTTTATCCTGGTAACCATCTTGTTTCCTGTCCAATTCTAAGATTCTGTCATTTTGTGTTTACATGGTTCTATCCCCAGTGTTACTGTCCTTTTCATTTCCTATCTGGACCACAATGCTCTTACATCTTAACTGTTCTTTGTTCACCCAGTCTAGCTACCTTTTATCACATGCAATATCTTAACCAGTAATGTTCCAGAAAGCCCTCCTTTATCATGCTGGATGTCTTTCTTGCTTTCTCAATGCTGACATGATGAATTCAAAACTCATGAATATGGATAGAGGACTCTGCCACCTGGGCATGATCATTTTTTTAAATCTTTGTGACATATCACTGTGCTATCTGGACCCTCTAATTCCATCAAATGGGTTACTAAACCTTCTGGCTCATGCCCTGTGTGAAATAATCCTACCCTCTTGTCTGGCTCATTCACAATATTCTCCTGTGATTTTCTCAGCTATTTGCATCCCATCTGTCTTTTATGACCCAACTCAGATTGTATCTCCTTCATGCCTTCTCCATTCAACCATCCATAATGCAGACTTCTTTTCTCACCCCATTGTCCTATTCTTAATAGGGCCTCTCTAATGTTTAATATCCATAGCACTCACTTTTTAAAAAACTTTATTAAGGAATAATGATAAATATAATTAATTATATATATTTAAGGTATAAAATGTGACTATTTGCTATATCTTTATATGTGGAATGAATATCAAAATCAAGATAAGTAATAATCACTTTTTAAAAACCTTTTTATTATGTAAGTAATATTCAGTATTACTTACTTTTGATTTATTATTGTATAATTTGTTCTATTTCCAAAATGATGATGAGAAGGCTTACAATAGAGATCACATAAAACAGCATGGCAATTAAAAAGAAAGTAAAAATGTAAAACAATATGTGGGAGAGAATAAATAACATTGACTAGTGAAACTTAAAATTTAGCTATTTTTTTCCTGCAGTCAAAGCAAAAAATAACCAGTAAGCTGCCATTTGACAGTGACTTACTATTGTGATGTTATGTACGTATTTAAAAAAAGCTTTTTAATCTAAATGCATCTTTTCTCATGAACTCTAATATTTGTCACTGGTAGGACTTATATAGAAAGCCTTTGTAGTATGTAGCAGTGTAAAGTCTAGCAGATGATGAGAGTTTAATAAAGGAATTTGTTGATGAATCATTGAATTTGTGATGTATAATAAATTTTAGCTATTTTTTAATCAAGGAAGTAGAAATAAATAAATAATGAGCTAATGAATGAAAACAAGACATAGGAATTTCAGAGAGCGAGTGAAGGGTCTAATGATATGACTGTTTTAATTAGGGGACATCTTCAAAATCATTCATTACCTATTCTTATTTGGATAAATGTCCATACAGAGATTTTATCATATGCGTGGCAGTAAACCTTGAGTAAGATGGTAAATCTATTTTATTGGAACCAAATAGTATAAGCTAATTTATGTCATTATCACTAGAATAATACTCTACCTTCTTGATATATAAACTCATGGCATACCCAGCTTCTGAGTTTTCTTTCCCTCCCTAAATAACTGTTTTATGGGACTGGAAAGATACTGTGCAGATACATGATGGTGTTCTTCACACTGTACATTGGGGTTTCTTCTCTTCCCAATCTAGAGTTATTTTTTAAACTTCGTATGACGACCTCAAAATGCAGATACATGATGGTGTTCTTCACACTGTACATTGGGGTTTCTTCTCTTCCCAATCTAGAGTTATTTTTTAAACTTCGTATGACGACCTCAAAATGCAGGGAACACTCTAGTCTGGTGCTGTCCAATGGCAATGTCTGTGATGATGAAATATTCTATATCTGTATTGTCACATACTGTAGCCACTAACCTCAAATGTTAAGAACCTGGAATGTGACTAACATGACTGAGTGACTGCATTTGGTATTAATTACTTGAAATTTAAACTGAAATAGTCACAAGTGGTTAGTGCTTACAGAATAGACCAGAGCAACGTTCACAGAGCTGCTTGCTTTTAGAACATACTTTCCACTTTCCGTTCTCGATCTGGTGCCTTTAAGAGTAGATTCAATTGACTACTGTTTCCTTATTATCATGTGAAATTTCAACCTACTATGCATTAACATGAAGCTCTGGATGTCTTTATCATTTTAATATGTCTATGTCACCGAAAGTAAAATTTAGAGAAAATTGTTCAGTTTCTTATCATTATGCTTGTGTTTGGACTAACAAATAATGGCACTCTTGGGGCAGAATTTGCATTGGTTGTCTGGGTCTCTAACTGCTGGGCTTTCTCTCAAATCTTCTCTCAGCAGAACATCTGAGAAAGTGGACCCACCAATCTTCTGAAGGTGGATTTTTCTGTCTGACTGGCTTGTTTTGTTCATAGGAACAAGTGGGCGGGGTCTGCTTTCTCTCGGCCAGCAGGAGCTTGCTCTAACTATTCCTTTAGTTTCTTTAATATGAGAATCCTCACACTTGCTCTTTGAAATGTTATTTTGTAAACTGCTATTTCCTCTAAGCCTGTTATACTTTTTTCCATCTGTGCTGCAGTCTCTTTTCCCAGTGGGGCCTTTCTTTCTCAACTTAATCATGCCATGTGTGGAGACCCACATCCACATTGCAGGCCTCTCTGACTCATCCCAGGAGGTTTATTTGCTCCAGAAATCCCACTCACACTACATGGAACAACAGAGAGGCTCCAATGAAGCCAGTTCTTCCTGAAATCCTCTTTTCCTTATACCCTTACCTTCTTGTCCAAAACCACATGAGAAGAGAAAAAAGCAAAAATACTTTTCTCCTTTAAAGTAGTATTTTTAGTAAATAGTTTTTAGCAATTCTGATTTCATGCTTATAAGCTACTTTTGTTATTGCTGCTTTTAAATATCTGGCTAGTAGAAAAACCTGCCAATGCTCCAATTTTCCTTTTTCCTCTACCAGCAAGCCAAGAGAGTCAATTCTGACAGTTATATTTTCCTTCCAGTTACAGATTAAATTGTTCCCCCATTTTGAAATGTATTATTCATAAATGTGCACAGGCTCTGAATATCTATAGCTCCTCCCATCCATGGATAGGAGGCAGTGTGGGTGGAAATTGCTCATCCACCCCACTTGTTGCTCTGAGGTTGTATAGAACTGGGTCTTCACACTGCAATTTTTGAGGCTTGTACTTTCCTTGGCCCTCCAGTCCCTCAAAGAAAACCCTTTGCCAAGGATGGCTCAGTCCCATGATTTCCCAATGCAGAAGGATTCAGACAATAAATCCCTCTGACTTGATTTGCTAAGAGGGCCAAAGTTGAATAACATAATGATAATAAAAATCTAACCACAGAGTCATAAGTTTGACCAACAGTTGGTTACATTAACCTATTTTAATCTCACCAAACACACCCTAAAAGATCCATAGAAACTCCAACCTGAATGAGCCTCTTAGCTCAGGGAAAACTGAGGCAGGAAGCCACTAAGGAAGCAACTTTCCACCCTTAGCTACAGGTGTCTGTGGGAGAGACCAAGAGGTTGCATAAATTTGCTTAGCTATGCACCACTGCCATGTGTTTTCAGTTAAAATGCACTTTATGTATGCACATATACAGTATACACACGAGTATATATGTATACATATGTGTTTATAATTGTTTTAAATCTGAAGCACTTCATCTTTATTATTTTACTAAAAATCACTTCAAGTTATCTTAACTTTAGCTGGGGGAATCTGCCCTTCTGTATTTAACTCCCATTTTTGGCACAAATGATCTGTCAGCTTTATGTGAATAACACATCAATGTGATGTGTAATTCTATGTGAATTACACATCGTTCACTACACTTTTAACTCAAGGAATGCGGGTCTGTCTGTTCACCAGAAGCAAAGTGCAGTTATATGAACTCTTTCAAAACTTAAGTTAGCGAAATTCCTGCTGAATTTACCAGCAGGAGGGGCCAGAGGAGATGTGACATTTCTGATGAGCTCGGGAGCCTCCACACGTTAAGCCCAAAATGCTATATGTGGCAAAGATAGGGAAAGCTGTACAGGCTGCTGGCCAGAAGAAGGCTCTCCAGGCCCTGACAGCCAGCCCTCGGGGGACATCCCTTCCTCGCTGGCCACCTCACCTTACCTTGACCACGTCGTCGTTGAGATGCTTGGGATCGCGGTTCACCAGGTCAATCTCCTTGGTGTGCGCGTCGTACATTTGCTTCTCGTTCATCTCCTCTGCCATTGCCTTGTTGTTGGGCTTGTAAATGTTGCCCTGTTCCCGGATGGGAACAGTGTAGAGATGTCCCTGCGAAGGGCGGACGACCAAGAGAGGGAGGGTGGCACCGGCAGTGGGAAGAAAATTTCAAAAAGAAAAACAAGTGATCAGAAGTCAGCCTGGCAGCCGGGCAAAGCTCGAGACTCAAAATCGCGCTGACCGCTTCGGCAGCGGTGGCTCAGCGCACAGTCAACTCCTTGGCGCCGCAAGCTTTTTAAGAGGATCTACAAGACACCACACCCCTCGGTACCAGGCAGGGAGCTCCAGCCTCCCCCGCCTGCCGCCAGGGGTCAGGGCAAACCCCGCGGCGCGGTTCGCCCCAGCCCCGCCCGGCGCACGCCCTGCCGGCTGCACCACGCGGAGACCCTGGTTAAGGAGGGGACCAGACCTCGGGTTTCTCTCCCTACGGTGCTTCTCCGCGCCACTCTCGTCTCGAGTGCTTCACCTGCTTCATTTCCCGTCCCCTTCCCCGGCCGCATGTCCCCTCCATAGTATTCCATAATCCCTTCCAGCTTTATCCCCCGACCATGGAATATTCCGGGCTTCCTGACCGCGTCTTCCTTTTTCACCTGCTCTTGTAACCCCAGCCCTCTCTATCCCTCCTAAGCTCTCCCCATCCGCGCTGTGGCCACGGTCTTCCATGCTCCGGTGTCTGGGCGGAGCAATGCCAGCTGCACAACTCCCCCGACCCACTCTGGGGTCACTCCAAGGCTGCCTGCCTGTGCGTGAAGGCTGTGCTTGGAAAAATGAGGTCTAGACTCCAGCCGAGCACCCAGATGGTGGTGGCAGTAGCGGAGCGGAGAGGTAAAGGAGGGTAGGTCTGCCCCTCTCCAAACACCCCTGCCAGGCGCCGAGTTGCTGGGAGAGTTCTTGAGGTGACCCAAGAGCTTTGGAAAGTGCAAACAAGACGCGCGCTGTTGTCCCAGTCAGCCGGTGCAGGCGCCTGGCGGGGGAGTCGCGGTGACCGTCCCCGGGATTTCGGGTGAATGACCTTCCACCCTGCGCTCCAGCTCCCCGCCTCCCAGCAGGAAGGGACCAGACCATGGGGATCCTGCAAAAAAAATTTAAAAAACAGCACCCCCACCCCTCCAGGAATAAGCCCTCTCTTCGGCACACCCAACTGCAGATCCTGACGCCCCTGTCCGCGTTTCTCTAGCCTAGGAGACCCCTTGCACCGAAGGAAACAAACATTCCTGTCTCCTCTTCATCTCCCCGCCCAGGCCCGTTCCTCCGCAGTGCCGGCGCGAGAGGAGTGCCCCGAAGTGGAGAGAGGGTTGGGGCAAGGAAAGCAGCCGGAATATTTGGAGTGGGAGTTAGCAGAAACAGGCACTCTTCAGCGCCCTAGGACCGGCGCGTACCCACCCAAGCCTACCTCGGAGTCTACGTATTTGCCCCCAGACATGCTGGCCCGAGGCTGGCTGACGGCTGTGAGGAGATTTCCCCGGGCTGTGATTTAAGGGAACTGAGGAAGGAAGATCTTGTATTGTATGGGGCGGGGGTTGGGGGGTGGGGAGCAATGCCGGGGGGCGGTGGCGGCTGGGAGGGAGCCTCCTGGCCACCCGCCAAAGGTTTGTTCTGCTCTGGGTTGGCTGGGACGTGCGCTGCGCCGGGTCTAGGCACATCCCCAAGGTTCTGGCAGCAGAGGGCGGGGAGAGCCCGCAGGCAGCAAACAGTGCAAAAGCGGTTTACTGGTGCTGGGCTGCTTGGGCAGATGTTTTAAACCTGGGGCAATAGTTTCCCAGCTATGAGTTTCTAAGAGGCGTCCAGAAGAGAGCAAATGTTTTCCAAGTGCATCATCCCAGCAGGGATGGTGAGTGGTAGGGGAAGCCCAGGCTTCTGCAAAGATGCCCAGTATGGGCATCCAGCTTCAGGAAGAATTCTGCCCTGCTCTGAACCCTTTCTTCCCATGTTCCATCGCTGCCTAAGATACAACTATCTCCTGTTTTGACAGCAAAAGTTAAATATCTATATTTCTCCTAGAACTTTTAGGTGCTTTTAACATTTATTTATTTTAAATGATTTATTTATGCATGTATGCAAGAGCTGGGGCGTCGGCCAGAGGGGTGTGTGTGTGTGTGTGTGTGTGTGTGTGTGTGTGTGTGAGAGAGAGAGAGAGAGAGAGAGAGAGAGAGAGAGAGAGAGAGAGAGAGCAGATTCACCAGAGACAGAGTGGGGAACAGAGCAGGCAGACTGACTGAAATACACTGCTGAGGGGAGCAGCAGGATAGACATGAGAGGTGTGCTGCTCCATATACCATATGTGGGTTATCTCCCTGGCCAGGGATGAACTCACGCTGCAGTGGATATCAATAGCTTGATCGCGCTGTGACTTTAACCCCTGCGCCACCAGTGAGCCCCCATGCTTTTAACATTTAAACACAGAAAGGAATCCATGTGCATGTGTGTGTGGTGTGCTTTTGGTGACAATTGTTTGCATCTTTAGTGTGCAGACTTGGAGAATTTAACGTTTCCCAACACAACTGAAAGATCTCCCAAATGCTTTGAAATAAGAAATGTAATTGTTAAATTTTTCTATAACTTTATTACTGACTTTTTCTGTAACTAAGAAAATCCATGACAACAGGTTATGCCAAGTTTACAAGATGTATAAAATATTTACAAATGTAGAAATATTTAACTGGACCTTCAAATTTACTAGAGAAAATTATTTTTTTAAATAAATGCGTTGACTGTGAGACTTGGATTTATTTTTTTTTACTAATTGATTGAAATGTAAAAAATTGTTAACAATTAAAATATGTCTTCCTGAATTTTGGATTTTCTCTATACCTTATTGTAATTCAGCCCCAGACAAGATGAACAATAATCATTTTCTTTTGGGTTTTGGTAAGTCAGGATAATCACTATCTAAAAATGTGAAGGCTATTTTACCTAATGCCTAAGGTTCTATATATAAAATCAAAAGTCAAATTGTGACTTGAAAAAAAAATAACTGGGAAGATACCTAAAGGGACAGAGATTAAATTAAAGATAATGGAAGTCTAGAAAGGCAAAAAAACAATAGTGTAGCGTAAGAAAAAGAGTAGGGAAAATAGAATATTGAACACTTAGATTTGGTTATATAGTAGGAGAGGAGACTTGAAAATATAAAAAAAGAACTATATAGGAGAGGCTATTGTTTAAAGAGGTAGTGCAATTTCCCAAATAATAATAAAAAAAATCAGTTTCAACTGCATGTTGATGAAAATGTCACAAATGTTAGAATGACTTAAATTGTACTAGACACTCATCATTAGAATATTAAAGAATGTCCAGAAGTTGTTTTTTTAGTTTTTTCAAGTTGCCTTTCTAAATTCTTTGAATGAATTTTGTTAACTTGATATGCTAAAAAAGGACAGTGTACTGTTCAATGTGTTTATAGAGCTCAGTTTATCTCTAATGATTGCTAAAAGATTGTTGTTCATCTAACCCTTCCTTTATAAGTTTTGGCTGCAAAGCAGTTGGGGTTATGTTCTATGGAAAAATGTGAAAACCGTTTCCCATCTATTGTTACTCAGTCCTCAGCTGCGATGAGTAATCTTGACTATGAAAAAAATCAACAGGAACAGGGAGACAGTGTGTCCTGCATTCCAGCAAGGAAAGGACTTACTGGGGAGGCCAGTGAGTGAATGCTTAACTAGGGTTCAGAGAAAGGAAAGCAACTTCACTGGGGAAGTCCATGCCTAAGTTGAATCAACAACACAGGGAATCATAATGATCAGTGAAGCGTTGTCAATGCCAAAAATGAATCCCTAATGAGAGGAGAAACCACAAACTCTTCTTTAACCTGCCTCAACAAGAACCTGGCACCAAAGATAAACATCTTATTCTGGTTATAATAGCTGACTTGGAGAATTGGCTCCAACTTTATGAGATATAAAGAAAAGATGAAGAAGAACATTGTTAGCATAGGACAAGACTTGAAATGAGTAGATGATATAAAAACTAAAATATTGGGCCTCCCTGGTGGCGCAAGACACAGTGCTATCAAAATATTGCCAGCCACTGTAACATGAGTTCAATCCCAGGCCAGGGAGCTAACTTATGTGGCACAGCAGTCCTCTCCTATCTAGTCTGCTGCTCCCCTCAGTCGTGTATTTCAGCCAATTCAGCTGTTCTGCTCCCACTGTCTGTGATGAGTTTTCTCACCTTTGTACCTTTGGCCTACACCCCAGTTCTTGTATGCATAAATAAGTAAAATAAATCTTAAAAAAAACTAAAATATTGTTTTATTTTGTACCCACAAAGATAACATCGGGCTTGGAGGCAAGTTAATAACTTTCTCCAAATCATTTACTAAAAACTGGGCAAATGATGATGTATTTGTTTTCTATTATTTAAGTAACCTTAGAGGTCAGTTTATGCATTACATGTTACTAAAAATAACAGAGCTAATGGATAAACATCATTCAGCCCAACCAGCTTAGAAAGGAGGAAACCAAGGTTTAAATATGTGAAAAAGATTTGGTCCTAAGAAGTTTTGTGGGGAACGAAACATTTTATAGTTGACAAGTTACTGTAACACCTTTTAGCAACTTAGGTAACAAGGATTCTTAAGTAGTCTAGCGAGGTCTTGCTTATGGCAACATTGTGAGGTTAGTTGCTTTTTTGTGTTCTCTCTACTTCTTTACTCCTTTACCCCCTGTCAGCAGCCTCACCCCCAACCTTTTCTCCCCTAGATCCTTATTTCCTATCCCCAGTACACTAGGGACTTATCTTACTTGCAACTGACTTCACTTAAATCCCACTCTAGGATTATGAATTTAAGGTTTGGTCACTTACAATAATATCAAAGTTTTAAGAAGCAATCAACTGTCCAACATTTGCCAATACTCAGAAGCCTAAAACTGCCTCTGTGGATGAGTTCAGAAAGGGGAGTTTAACTTGTGTAATAATAGGGGTTATCACTAGGTATGATACCAAAACAATGAATGAATAGCAGGGCAGGGTCATTCAGCAATCATTCCAGACTTGGACCACAGTTCTGGAGCTGTGTCTTAGAGCCCTGCTGGCTCAATGCTGGATCTTTTGGAGTTTGGGGGCTCTTAGGGGAAGGTTAAGAGAGGAAGGTTACACTTCAGGGCAGTGACTACATGCAAGTATGTGGATGTCAGTATTTTTTATAATTTCTGTGTTCAGCTGAATTCACTTTAATTTTCACCATCATCATTTCACACTTGTTCCCTATTCAGTCCCATCTTCTGAGTTCCTTTGAAACATTCTTCCCATACATACTGTCCCATCTTCCATTCCTTCCATTTTATACATGGAAAGAAAAGGCTTTCTAGGCCAGACTTGCCTCATCACCTGCTCCCTTCCTATTCCTATTCTAGTTTGAAGGCTTCACTGGAAATTTCCTTAGTTTGGGTGGGCCTTTACATTTTTGAGTATTTTAAACCATTTCTAAAAATTAATTTCCTTAAAAAATAAAAAAAAGCAATTATTTCTGTGTTTTAAAAATGTTCCTGACCAAGATGACTAAGAAAGTATTCTTTTTCTGCTCTTTCTTCAAGTTAGCTTCAATTTCTTTATTTATAAAATGGAAGAAACATAATTCACATCTACTCAGTATTGCTGTGAACACTTTGTGAATGGGATGCATTTAAAGTACTGAGGAAATCCTCTAAATCATAGTAGGAGACAAATCTCAATCTATAACTTCAGCATTAAATAAATGTATTTTCCTTTAGTCTTTTTACTATAAAATAGTTCAACCATTTTACAATTTTATTGTAAAATAGTTTAAAAGATAGATAGAAAATAATATAATGAGTACCCATCATCATGTTTGATCAAATCATATCATTTTTGTGTCATTTGCCTCAGACTTTTGAAAATAGAAAACATTAAGGATACTATTGAAGTCCTTGGGCAATGTAACTTTTTATTTTTTTATAGTTGCACTTAATTTTTTATAACTCCCCATTCCTTCGTGGTAGAAACTTCCTCTTAGTCAATTCCTGGTTCCTCCCATTTTGTTGGGGTTACATCTAAATTCCAGGAGTTTGTGAATTGCCAGTGAATCTTGGGGTGAATCTGTGGAGGGGTATATCTTTGCTATGCATCTTGACTGTGCTGATAGGTATATCATCCTGTATGTCCTAATTCATTGGTCCATTCAGGACACTGCTAAAATGTCCTTCATGCTCATACACTATGACCCTCAGGGATAGAGATCCTTTCTTGCTACTTCTGTCTGTTCTTGGGACTCTTACAAATCTGACGAGTCTGGTTGTGCATCACAGAGTCTTCTTGGTGAGTGTGGTGTACCTGCCTCCTATGGTGCAGGGAAACTCTAGGAGGTTGCTACCTCCGTGATTCCTCCCAGAAGCAAGAGGCACAATTACCTCTGCTCGTAGATCCCTCTAATTCATGTGGGCCTTTGCTTATTTTCCCATTTTCCTCTTCTTGAGCAGGAAGCCTTGATCCTATATTGCTCAACATTTCTTTCTCCCTTTCTTTCTCTCTCTCTCCCCCACATCCCCTTTTTTTCTTTCTTTCTCCCTGAATTCCCCCAGTACCAATACTTTTGGAAAAATGAAGTCTTATCTCTGCTTTTCTGCTATAAAAATCCATCTTTGGCATGGGATGGATGGGCTAAGGGAAGGTTCCAGGGCCATCCAGAAGAGAACTTCAATAAATGAAGCAAAAGTGTCATTAGTCACCAG